CGTCCCGCCCGTCGGTCTCTCCCTTCCTTTTAGAAGGGGCTTTCTTGCCCGCGGACCCGACTCTGTCCGCGGCGGTCGCCAGGGGGTTCAATTGTTTCGAAATCCCCTGCAGAGGAGGTCTGAAGTATGGAGACCTCAGGTCCTCCTCCGTGACCGTTATGTGCGGCCACGGACCCTCCCCCTCCGTGGGAGCGGTTCGTCTTCCCCGCGTTCGAACGGGGCTGCGGGCATCGGTCGAGCCATCGAGACCCGACCATTCCATGGCCGAGTCCCACCCCGGACCGGTCGCCCTGTCCCTCCCTGAAGTATCACGGCAGGTCGACCTCCCCCTTTTTCTACCACGCTCCAGGATGGCGACTCTGGAGCGGAGGAACATCAGCTCTTGGTTGAGCTGTCGTTTCTCCTCCGCTCAGGCCAACGCCCTGGAGCTCTCAACATGCCGGTCGTCTTCGGCCGGCAGATCGCCATCGCCCGACCTCGCCATCACGGAGCTCAGGGCTGCGGACAGCTTGGAGAAAGCCGTCCACAGGTCCCTAACGAAGTCTCCTTTAATATTTTTGCTCTTCTCTACAGCCTTGGCGATGGCTGCTAATTCGCGGGTTACTACCGCGGCAACCGATCGCAAAGGCTGCTGATCGTACTCAATGGCGAGGTCGATGGCTCTGTCCTTTGCCCTTTTCGCGGACGCGGAGAAGGACTCCACATGCGGGTCTATTATGGCCCGGTGGTCCCTCCTCAGCTGCCAGGCCTTGGCCTTGTCGGCCTTCTTCGCCCTTGCCTCCGCCGTGAATTTCCCAACGTTGTCCGGGTTCAGTGCCGGCCTCCCCCTAGACCTCTTCGAAATCCGAGGAGGAGAACACGAAATCGGCCGTCCTTTTACGCCTCTCACGGCTTTCGCCCTCGAGGGACCTCAACGAGACTGCTGACGCGACTCTCGAGAGGCCTCCCTGAAAATGCTCATCGACAGCGAAGGCATTATCAAGTCGTGGAAGAAATTAAAAGAAATGCTACGAGACGAATTTATAGACAAAATAAACAATGCTCAAATACATGATATGCTGGTCAAAAGAAGATTGAAGAGAGACGAAACCGTACCGTAATATTATTATGTGATGAAAGAAATAGCTGCTAGAGGCAACATAGAAGCAGAAGCACTCATGAAGTACGTGATTGATGGACTTCCGGAAGACGTGCAGAGCAAGATTATATTGTACGCAGCAAAAAAATTGACGGAATTCAAGGAGAAGCTGAAAGTATACGAAACAATTCGGAAGAAGAATACTGAGAGGATGAGGACGAGAGAGAGAAACAACATGCAGAAGAAAATAGAAGAAGCGAGGAAACCATCAACATCAAAAGGTGAAAAGGAACAGGAAACAGACGTGAGATACTACAATTGTGGCGATAAAGGACACAAAGCTAAAGACTGCAAGAAGAAAGAACTAAGTAAAAAGTGTTTCAAGTGTCAAAAATACGGGCATACGGCGAGGTTGTGTAACGCGTCAGACGATAGTGAGGCGGTAACGGATAAAAAGACGACGGTAATTAATACGGTTACTGATACACCGAGCGATAGAATGTGTAAACGAATCACGATAAACGATGTGCGGGTCAATGCGTTAATAGATACCGGCGCGGTTACTGATGCCCCGAGCGATAGAATGTGTAAACGAATCACGATAAACGGTGTGCGGGTCAATGCGTTAATAGATACCGGCAGCCAAATCACAATAATGCGCAAAGACGTTACGATAGAATGAAATTAGACAAGCTACGGGGAAATAGTATTTGTTTAACCGGTTTTGGGAAAAACGAAGTACACTCGTTAAGTTGCGTAAATGCAATTATAAAAGTAGATACTGATGAATATCCGTGGGTAGTGCACGTTGTGTCAAATGAGCTACAAAGTCGAGCATCATAATTGGTAGCGATTTTCTAACGATGACGGAAATGACGACGATCAATAACGACGGAATAATTATACGTAGAGCAACACTTGCTCAATCGTTAACACGAATCAACGTGATCGAAAAGCAACCGTTAGACATTGGTGACGCGACGGATCCGAAAGTGCGCGAAGAAGTAGAGACGATTATTGAAGAGTACCAAGTAAATAAGTGTAAGACAACCGACAGCATGCGTATCGTATCAAAAGACGAAAGGCCTATTTTTCAAAAACCGCGACGATTACCGGCACCCGAGCGCGAAGTAGTCGAAAATCAAATAGCGGAATGGTTAAACGACGGGGTCATTGAGAAGTGTTCGTCGGAATACGCGAGTCCAGTAGTCGTTGTAAGAAAGAAAGACGGATCACCGCGTGTATGTGTCGATTATAGGAAGTTAAACCAAGTCATAGAAAAAGACGGTTATCCCTTATCATTAATTGAAGATCTATAATAGATAAGTTAGAGGATGCGTGTGTGTTTAGTACGTTAGATTTGAAAAACGGATTTTTTTCATGTATCCGTAGAAAAAGA